TTGGCATGCATAACAACAAGAACACAGAACAGGGTGATGGCAATGAGGAGATAGATGTACTCCAAAGCAGCTCTCACTCTCGGCGTCAGCATCTGCGAGAACCTCTCCTGGACCCTTATGAATGTCTGCTCCGGATCCATCTCTCTATGTTTTTGTATCTATATGCCCCTATGAAACGACCTCAGAATCCTGCCGAAGAAGATTCTATGCTATCGAAATCATTTCCCACCCATTTTCTGGGTTTAGACCTCCGAAGTGTCGAACATTTTTCCCTGACGACTAGAACGATGATCCTCGACAGTCGAAACGACATTGTTAAAGCAGCAATGCTAGGGGCACTCGCCTCCTGCACTCTCCGGCCAACACTTTCTCTTTTATTGGGCCACGTTATGTTGGTTGCCGAGAGGTTGCGCCTGAAAGCTTTAAAGAAGCTTACGTGGCCCAATGAAAGGGGAAGTGTTGGCCGGAGAGTGCAAAAAGCGAGTGCCCCTAGCACCGCTCTTGTTAAAGACGATGATGATTGGTGCTACATGCCGTAAGGTGATGATTGGGAAAGCAGACTACTTCGTCCGGCTTACCGGTTCGGTTATCCTTGGCTTATTCAGTATCCTACATCCAAACATCCTCGAAAGAATTTCGCACTTTAGAAAAAAAAAAAAAAAATTTACGTTTTGGTTTTTCCCTCAGAAAGAAATGTTCCTCACGATTCTGACCAGGAAATTAACACACTTTTCAAACACGTTAAGGTCTCTTCTTTTACCCGTCCGCTTGCTTCTATCTGTGAAGTAGAAGATGAAGAAACGCACGGTGTACGCATGGGGAGTGGCGATTTTGTCTTTCATAGTTCTGATGATCGTCACTCCGGCAATCCCCCAGTCTGAGGAGTACCATGATTTTGCCGATAAACGAGAATTCTTGGGTAACTTTTTTCTTTCCTTCTCCTCCCAGTTTCTAATTTGAGCATAGATCATTCATTACTCTTAGCATCTTCCGGAGATACAATCTGTTTAAAGAAACTTTCTTTGATCGTATCTGTAGCTTGGTATGAATGTAAATGGGGTTTATTGTTATTTTGCTCTCAACTTTTTTTTTTTCTTTTCAAATCTGTGATTGAAGAGCTATAGAGTTTTGTGATGGGAAAAGAGCAAGTAGTACCAGGAAGAAAGAAACCCTTTTCTTTAATTTGAAGATGGAGAAAGAGTAGCGTCCCTAAACATTGAATTGCTTATTTGCATATTCAATTTCTTGCTTTGGGAACTCAATCTGAGAAGTTCTTCTGTGTTCTGGTGACAAATCTTTGATGGGAATGAAAAAAGTTTTCATCTTTAGTGGGCGTTTGGTTCCCGGAGATTTTTCACTGGAGATTCAGTTTGCGATTCAAAAGAAAGAAAAAAAATATTGGAGTCATCCTCATTTCATGTATTTGATTTCTATCCGTCTTATAATGTGGGGTAGATGGGGTAATCTCACAGGCCCCCTTAACCTAGGAGGTAGAGGATTACAGAATTGTTTATCTCAGTATTCATACACTGTCTAAAAGTCATTAAAATGGAGCCTCGTTCACGCTTCAGCACAAAGCTTCTTATTTCATGAAATGATAGATTAGATTTAAGTACTGCTTGATGCTTGATGTTGTTTCCTTTTTCTCAAAAAAAAAAAAAGAAAATGATGTTGGCATGTTGGTCTTTTCAGGCATACCAAATACATTGAACGTGGTGTCAAATTTTCCATTCCTTGTCATTGGCCTCGTAGGTCTTGTGCTTTGCTATTACAAGAACTATTTCAAGTTCAGGTAATACAGACAAAGTGCTTGCAGATATATCAATTTATTGTGTTCTTGAAGCTAACAAAAATCTGTTATGTGATAATTTGATAATATGAAGTTTTGTTTGTGCCAAAAGCTTGCAAGGTGAGCTATATGGTTGGACTTGTTTTTTCATTGGTGTGGCAGCGGTTGCTGTTGGCTCTTCTTACTATCATCTCAAGCCCAATGATGCTCGTCTTGTGTGGGATCGGCTGCCAGTGAGTTTACTATTTTCTTTTGTGGAATACCAGTCATTGATTTTAGAGGTGGTTTTAGGCTGGCTTATCAACCTCTAACTTTTTTTTTATTTTATTTTATTTTTTATGGTATGTATAGATGACTATTGCATTCACCTCAATTATGGCAATATTCATTATTGAAAGGATTGATGAACAGAAGGGAACAATTTGTATCATACCACTGCTGTTAGCAGGCATAATAAGCATCTTGTACTGGAGGCAAGTAGATCGCTTTTTCATTCTTCTTTTGTTATGAGAAGTCTTTATTTGAGGACTTGTATGGTTCTGGAAATTGATCGATCATGTAAGGAACAAACTGGCAGGCCTTTTGGATGAAATCTTTGCCTTGCATTAATTATTTGATTTGTTTCTTAAACTGAAGATATGTTTCGAGTCTTGGGATTTGTTCAATCTTCTAGTTTTTGGTGAGGTGAGGCAGTGGTAATGCCAGTGGTAAGACTGGTAGAACTTGGAATGATGTTCTTGGCAGAGGTGAAACATTAATGCAGTTGTCAGCCTTTGTTTCTTGCACAATCTGTTATTTTTTCCAACTATGAATAACTCTTCATACTGATATCCCTGGTCACTAGCCTCCAACTCCACAGAGGCTACAGTAACTAAAAGGGTATTTCCTTCTTTACCTCTGACAAATCTCTGATTTTGTATTCCGTTTTGTAGGTTTTTTGATGACCTCCGACCCTATGCATTAATCCAGTTTGTCCCTTGCATTGCCATTCCTTTGATGGCTATCTTGTTACCTCCAATGTACACACATTCTGCGTATTGGCTTTGGGCAGCAGGTTTTTGTTTTTCATCTGTATGTTTTCCTATTTGTTGAGTATCATAATATTTCTGCAGTAATGACTATGGATTTGAACCTGTTCATCTCAGGATTCTATCTTTTAGCTAAAATAGAGGAAGCCATGGATAAAGTAATATACGAATGGACCCATCATATTGTCAGTGGACACACACTCAAGCATTTGTGTGCTGCAATGGTTCCTGTCTTCTTGACACTTATGCTGGCAAAGAGGTCTATTACAACTGAAAGGTATTCTTGTTCTATCCTATGGAATTAATTTAATATTGCCCTTAGCTTTTGAGTCTAAATGAAATTTCCTTGATTTTCACATGTATAGTTTTGAATGAAGTAGAGAAAGCCTGCCTTCTACATTGTGTTGATTAGGCTGGGGCCTTCAGGTCCACTTGCCCAATAGTCTATAGATTTGTAGGTTGCTTATGTTTCATTTTTCAGTTGTTTTTCCTTGATATCTGAAAACGAAGGAAAAGTGATGCTTTTCATATATTCTCTAATTGATTTTCCAAATCTATCCATCAAAGCTGCAAAGACTCAAATTTTGCTTTTTTCCCGAGCAGGATAAGTCTTTTCACGACATGGAAAGTCTCATGGACCAAGGTTAAAGAAAATGGTTCAGAGGTGGAAAGTTGCACTTGTACCTACACTTCAGTTCCAATTGAGGAGTCCCATTGAGTTGTAGTTACACTCTTCTTTTTAATGAAATATGTTGTGTGTAACAAAGCCAACAGATCCTACTCACTTACCATACTTTGCTTCTGTAAATCAACTCTCTGCACAAGTAGTAAAATCCCTTAATAGAGCATATTTCATTTTGATATGTAACTCATCTAGTCATCTCCTCCCTCAATATCAATTTACTGTTGTCTTCATTTTTTGTTTATTGTCTTCCATTTATTTTTTAATCTAATCTTCCAACTTTTGATTCATGTTCATTCATCTTCGAACTATATATTATTTTGCTACCAAGTAGTGTTAAGTGGTTAATAGATTGAACCTAAAACTCTAAGTTAGAAGTTTTAGATTTAAACAGGAGGGGAATTATAAATAGTGGAAGGTTATTTAGTGTTGTATAGTTATTATTTAACATACTAAAAATGCAATGTATTATTTTCACGTTCGCATGGAGGCATATCTTACCAATATATAAATATTAAAAATATTTGGCAACTCAACAGTCGGGGTGGTGGCGCAGTTGGCTAGCGCGTAGGTCTCATAGCTTCTGAGTTATCCTGAGGTCGAGAGTTCGAGCCTCTCTCACCCCATGTCCCTTTTCCTGTCTAAAATTAAGTAATTTTTTTTTTAATTCAACATTTTGATTAATTATACTTTTAATTTTAATTTTAAAATAAAAAAGTTAAATACGATAATATAGTTATTTTTTATTAGATTATTAGAATTAATATTAATTTAACTGATTTTTTTGGCTAAACAATTAATTAATATTAAGATTTTTAAAGAAAAATGGAAAAAATATTAAAAAATTTTAATTTTAATTTTTAATAAAATTAAGTTCACCTAACTCAATTTGAAACTCAAGTGGATGAGTTATGGATCTTCTCTTTTAATTTAAAATCTAAAATAATTCATTCTTATCAACTTGAAATTCAAGATGATTTAATTCAATTTTATTTAATTTAATCTGTTGGTTGAGTTTAATTATCAGCTAACTTGAATTCGAATGTAATTTGATAAACAAATGAGTTTGTGTTCAAATTTACATGCTTATTCATGAGTACTCGATTTATAATTAAAAATTATAGTATATATAATTTAAATAATTTACATATTTTAAGATTTTTAAAACAATTGAAGAAATAGAAGAAATTCCGTTTTAGAGAACACTATCGCTTTGACTATTATGAGATATATATATATATATGCGTTTACGTAAATCTATCTGCTTGGTGTTAAAAATCAATTTTGCATTAATTTGTGTCAGTTTTCTAAGAAAGCTAGTGACTAACCCAATCAAGAAAACTTGATTTCTAAATCCCTGGTATTTCAGGTTTTAGTCATAATTTACATTCTAATAATAGCCAATTAAATAATATAGTAAATTTAATTATAAATTTTTCAAAAAATTATAAAAAAAAAGAAAAAGTAGTGCTCGAAAGGTTCCAATATATATATACATCAACTTTCAACTTTCAAATAAGTTCAACAGTATATTATTTATTACAATAGAAATGCCAAGGACCTCAGCTACTGCTTTCCACATTATAATTCAGAAACGAATGGTAGCTTGTTTGTGGTCAACTACAACAACCTTCGCTATGTTGGGCCACGAAAGAAGTTGCACATTCAACATGTGCAGGATGAGCAACATACTCTGCAACTCCTTCTGTGATCTCAAAAGTAGATACAAAGACATTTGTGAAGCCTTGCTGCAAGTTCTCAATGCTCTCATCCTTGCCCCTGTTACAACATCCAATACACTTTAGGTTACTTCAACTTGAATGGGCATCATAATCATTTCTGCTACCTTCACGCTCATCATAATTAGGATCCACAAAACTCAAGTTATAGGCAATTGTCAATCAATATATTATATATGTATAATGATACATACAGACTCTAATTCAATATATATACTACATAATATTTATTAAAAAATTATTATTTTTTAATCTAAAGTTAAAAGCAAATAAATTTAAAAATATAATCATGCATATAAAATGTATACAACAACTAAATTGGTTGTACTTATAATATATTTTAATAATTAAATTGAGACTAATGTTTAAAAATATGTTAAACCTAGTGTATACTAATTATTTTCTTATTAAATGAGCTGAATTTTTGAATTTTGAATAAATAATCAGTTCTAAGTATTAATATTTAACAAGGTGAATTTTTTATTTTTAAATTGAGTTTTGATTTTTCAAATCAAATGCAAATATTAACATTTAATAAAATGAATTTTTGAATTTTAAATTAAATTTTAATTAAATAAAATAACATCATCTAAAGTCAAAACTTTAATTTTTTTTTTTTGGATTTACAACTAATATGCATCATTTTCTTTTTTTTGGACAACACTATAGTTACACTGTTAGGAAGGATTGTAAACTTACAATCAGAATGATCATAATGATGTAGTATTAAAAGTATATAACTGAATATTAGTTAAGTGGATATATACACTATCACAGGTAAATTTTTTAAAAAAAAACTAATTATATAACAATATATTATATTGTAAATTTACAATAACTTAGTTTTATAATGCTGCCCTATCGTTGTAGGTGTAGGTTTTTTGATCATTTAATATTATAAAAATATATAAAATATATTTAATATTTATTTTAATTAATATTTTCAAAAATCAACTATTAGATTAATAATTCTATCCATGTCAATCACACATGTCAATTTTTGTATTAATACTTTGATAAAAGAAACTCTATTTATTGATATGTATTTAAGGGTGTTAAATTTCTTGTAG